GAAATATTAATTTTAATCTATCAGTCTAGAGTTAAAACTAAAATAAAAAAATCTTCAAGATTTTAATTTTTTAAAATGCGTTTTAATCCTAAGGTATTGTTTTTTCTTTTTTTTCTTTCTGTTGTGTCGTGTATCTTGCTAAGTAAGCGTTTCGACCTCCACTCTAGTTGGTGTCAGTTTATCATATGAGCTACCTGCTCATATACAAATTATACTAATTTGCATCTCACTACATCTCCCTATAACGGAGGGGCCTTATGCCGCGAGTACTTCTTGTGCCCCCCTGAACATCTTCCTTTATCTCTCTCCTTTCCCTTGGAGATCTAGATCTATCACGTCTTTCCCTATAATCGAATTGTTCCTCTTGCATACTCTGGTCTTCCTCTTCTAACTCATCTCTCTCTACTTCTTCCTCCGCAGTTTCATTCTGCATTAACTCTTCTGTTACATCAATAATGGGCATCACTGAAGGCATTTCCTCATCCGATTCTTCTCCTTGGGATCTTATTTGGTCAGCATGAGCTAGAACACTGTTCCCATTTTCTTTATTTAATATTGCAGTATTATGTCCTTTCTGCATAATAAATTCAGCTGACTCTGGTTGCATATTCCTATTTCTTTTGTACCACATCTTTTGATTTGTGGCATATGACAGTCAAAGGGGACCTTAATTGTCTGCCCATTAAGGCAGATGGACTTTCCGGCCTGCCTGCATGTGGAATTGTTCTGTAACTTAATAACAGTCTTGGTAGGAAAGCATCGACTTCCTCCTTCTGTTGCAAGCATGCTTTTATGCCCTTCTTTACCGTCTGGACCATCCTTTCCGCTGTCCCATTACTTTGAGGGTGGTAGGGAGGGGTCTTGTAAGGTCTGCATCCTATTTTTCTTAGCCATTCATGCAAATCAGCATCCACAAATTCTGGTGCGTTATCAGTCACCAATGTTCTCGGTGTCCCATTCCTCGAAAATATTACTCTTAATATTTGTTTTACGGTGGTACTTTTATCAGGCCAACCTGAATATGCGTCTACTAATATTAATAGTCCTATCCCATTGACATAGGCATAGTCCATGTGTACTCTGCTCCATGGTTCTACTTCTCGGGGCCATACATGTATTTTCTTTTGCTTAAAATTCCTGAGTTCTGTGCATTTTTGCATCTTTTTACGTAGTCTTCTACGTCTCTTGAGTACCCCGGCCACCACGCTTCCAATTTTAATCTTCTTTGCGTAGCTGCCACTCCACAATGTACGTCATCGTGTACACTTTTTATAACCTGTCTCCTCTGTGTTTCTGGGGGAACTACCAAGTCTCCATTACATATTATCCCGTTTTCTATAGTCATTTTTATGTCTGATTTCTTTGAATGGTCTTTCAGCCATTAAACAATTTCCCCAGCGATTCTGTTTTATCCTCGACATTATTCTATTTAACACTGGGTCATTTGTAGTTTCAGTAGCCATTTTATCTACAGATATTACATCAGTTTCTACAAGGTGCAAGAACGTGTCTTCAAATTCCTCGTCGTTTTTGTCCTTCTCTCTATAAAACCTCAATCTAGATAAGGCATCAACGTGCGGTATCGTATTCCCTTTAACATATTCAATGTCAAAGTCGAACGCCATCAGTCTAATCGCCCAACGTAATATTCTGGACGTTGTAACTTTTGGTAGCTCTTTTCTTGGGTTGAAAATAAATTCCAGTGGTCTGTGATCACTTTTCAACAAGAATTTTTTCCCCCATCAAAAACTGTCTTGCTCTATCCGTTGTCCACACTATGGCTAGTGCCTCCCTTTCTACATTCGAATAATTGTAGTCAGTTGTTGTTAATCTCCTCGATAAGTACATTATGGGATGCCCATCTTGTGACAAAATACCAGATATGGACTGCTCACTAGCATCAGTAGTTAGAGTTATGTCCTTAGGGTCAAAAATTTGTACTATTGGCTTTTTTGCCAGAATCTGTTTTAAGTTTTCAAAGGCTTTCTGTTGGTGTTCTAACCAAATGAATTCCACATTTTTTTTCTTAGCAAATGGTTCTGTAAACTCATATTTTGGTACATATTTTCTATAAAAATTTACCAAACCTAAGAAGGACTCCAACTCTTTTTTATTTTTCGGTGTAGCAACTTTTAGAATTTTTCTATTAGTACTTTATCTGGAGAGATCCTTCCTTTGATATTGAGTAACCCAAAAATGATATTTCATTACTGTTGTTACACACTTTTTTGTATTTATTGTCATACCAGCGTCTCTTAGCCAGTTCAGTATATTTTCAGTTTTTTTCTTTAAATCATCTTCATTTAAATCTCCAACACATATCGTCTTGATAACAGATGGTATTTTCAACATTTTCTATTACTTTTTCAATAGCTTTTTGAAAAATTGCACTTGCCGTTTTTATGCCATACGGCATTCTTTTCCACCTTAACAGGCCTATAGGTGTGTTTATAGTCGTCACTTCTTTAAAATTTTCATTTATCGGTATTTGGTGGTAAGCTGATTTTAGGTCTATCTTCGAAAATACTTTCATTCCAGCAAGTTTATGTAAAGCTACGTCCACATTCGGTATAGGGTACGAGTCAGCACAAACTTTATGGTTCACCCCTATTTTATAATCTCCACAAATTCTCAGGTCACCATTTTTTTTTTCAATACCACAATGGGTGATGCCCATTTACTTCCTCCTGGAGGGGCAGGTTCTAATAAGTCTTCCTTTATTAGCTTTCGCAATTTAGCTATTATCAACGGTAATAAATGCACTGGTATTTTTCTCGCTTCGTAGGAGGGAGAAACATCTTTTAATTTCAGGCTAGCTTCATAATTTTTTAATTTTCCTGTTTTTTCTATTTCTATCTCATTAATCAACTTCGTTGAATTTATTTTTAACACGTCATTCCCCAGTAGTCCATGCGTTTTTCGGCAATTTGTAACTATAATGGGTACTATTTCATATTTTTCTTTTAGTTCTATTGAACCTTCAAAGTAACCCATAATTGCTATAATCGAGCAAACTGACGTAATTGTACGTTGTTTTTTTTTTTTAAAAACGGTTTTCCCACAAATTTCTGGGTACTATCGTAACGTCACTACCTGTGTCGATTTGCATTTCGACAATACAGTCGTTGATTGTCACTTTTATTTTTGTATCTCCATTCTTAGATCCAGTATTTTGTATATTATCCTTTTTTACATTAAAAATCTGTCTATTTTCATCCTCTACTCTTTCCACATTTTTCGTTTTACATACTTCTTTGAAGTGATTTTTTTTTTAAACACTTTGAACATGTTTTTCCAAAGGCTGGGAATTTTTCTTTTTTCATTTCATGAATTTTTCCACAGTACGCACAATTTTTCCTTTTTGTTTGTACCGTATATGTTTCAGCCATTATTTCTTCGTGGGATTTATTTTTATTTTGGTTGTAGGTATAACTCCTGCTGTTGTATAAATTCTATACACACATTCAAAGGCATGTTTGTAAGTTGTAACTGTTCCATTAACTTATATCTATGTGCTAAATTATGCATACCTTCAATTAATCTTAGTTGGATTAATTCTTCTTCCGTTGTCTGCTCTCCTGTTCCTAGTTTTTCGAATTCACAGTATTTACTCGCACTTCTTAACCGGTGTAAATATTTTACTATCGGTTCATCCACTTCCTGCTTCATTGCCATAAACTTGGTCCTTTCTGCAATCACCAGTCTTTTCTTTGGTCTCATGTTTCCCTCAATAACCTGACTTATTTCTTCGAAAGTCATTTCTTCTAGTTCTCGAGGGTAAACCATTGTAGCAACCTTCATAATCGCTTCACAACCAGCGGTAGCCATAAACAAGTCGGTGATTTCATTTTCCCCTCCTCTGTTTTTGTTGTCTTTCAACTTTTTACATCTTGCATTAAGCAGCAAAGCAACGAATCTACGTATTCTGGGTCTTCAAGGACCAAAGAGTATCCTATCGGCGACGCCATTGTTGTATCGTGCTAAGTAAGCGTTTCGACCTCCGCTCTAGTTGGTGTCCGTTTATCATATGAGCTACCTGCTCATATGCAAATTATACTAATTTGCATCTCACTACATTTCTTTTGTTTTTTATGTTTTGTGGGGGGGTGTTTGTTGTTTTTTTTTTTGTTTTGTTTTGTTTTTTGTTTTTTTTTAGGTTTTGGAGGTACCTATTTCATGGAAATACAGGTACTGACAATCTACAGTATCTGGGTAAACATTAGCTAACTAGATACTTCAATTTCTCATATAAGACGCGGAAGATAAAATACAGTATAAAGCGTATCTGTCTATATTTCTGAGATGAAGTATTATATACGCTATTTACATTAAGGACACATGGCACAATGGATAAAGGCCTTGGTTAGATCCAGTGACAGTGTGAGTTCAATACCTGGTTAAGGTAGTGGAGAACTTGGAGAGGTGATTTAACAGGAGATAACTGATAACTGACATCCATTAGACATGGCACGTCGAACTAGAACAGTCTACCCCAGCGAGCGAAATAAAGGATTCAGTTCGACATTCCAACCACCTGAAGAAGGCCGGAGCGTACAACGGCCGAAACGTTGTGATAAATATGGCAACAAAGATGAAGACAATAGTCCGAATAATGCAAATAGGGAAAGCGTGTTTTAAGCCTTCGTTGCGTATTTTGAAATTTAAATATTCTCTTCATTATACGTTTTTATTTTTCTCGGTATTGATTAAATTAATTTCAGAAAATATTATTTTCATTTCAGACACTTATCTCTGCACAAGGATGGGTTTCATATTCTGCTAATACCAGACAAGGCTTTCTCTCAGGTACCAGTTTTAAGGGCAAAATTTATCACACAACTTAAAGATTCATCGCTGTTTTGGTTAAAGAAATCTTCGTCTGAGAATAAACCCAATACGATTTTACAATTTTTTTTAATTATTGGGGCTTTATAGGAAGAAGTCATTTTGATAAATAACTAACAGCCTTTTCCTGGGCTGGTTTTCTCGAGCCCGGAAAAATGAATGGTCCAAACGATCAGAAAAAGCAGGCTCACATTAAGCGGCCCCTGAATGCGTTTTTCGTGTGGAGCCGACTGTTGAGGCCCAAACTGTTAGAACAAAACCCTAATATTAGCAACGTTCAGGTCAGCGTCCTTCTCGGGAAAATTTGGAACGAAATGTCCGAAGAACAGAAAAAACCGTACTATGAGGAATCGAAACGGATTAAGCAACAGCACAGGGTGGACTACCCTGGGTGGCAGTTCCAGAGAAATCCGCACCCACCGGCTAAACACTCCAAAAACAGGAAATACGAGAGTCTCATGAAATCGCCAGACGTTGGAGATAACGCTCTAAGAAACAGCCGCACTTATCAAATCCCTCAAGTGATTTTCATCCCCAGCGGGCAGGGGTTTTGGCCGATCGCCCACAACAGCGTTCCTGAAACAAGGGTTCCTTTTTACACACCAGATGATCTTCCGAACAGAATGCAATCCTGTCCGCGGCAGCTATATATGGGTGCTAAATCGTGCACACAGGAGACTCTTGGATACGACAGATATATTCCGGAATGTTCGATGTTACCGGCTTACCCATATCCGCACCCCGAGGCTGAATATGCACAACTGAAGCCAGAAGAGGTAAATGTTCCGCAGGAATGTCTGTATAAGTCTACTCCCTTTGAAGTGACCAGCACACAGGTGAAGTATCTTTCTAACACTGTGGTTCAAGAAAACTCTCATCACAAGGTCCTCGGAGAAGGAGGCATGAGCTCAACTGTATCCGAAACACTTTCTGAGACGTTCGAAATTCTTTACAACAAGAAAACTATCTGTGTTCAGCAACCTGAACCAGAACTCTTTCAAACACAACCGGCAGTCAGTAATGAGCATTTGTGCGAAAGGCAATCGAAATGCGACCCTGTTGTCATGACGACCCGTATAGATAATGGCAGAGAAATTATCTCTCTTCCGTCGATTCTCTCCAAAACGGAAGGCATGCCAGGAACGCTTCTTCATATACCCGAACAGAATGGAATCCACTTTGAACGTAATTATGAATTTGAGAGCAACGTGAACGATCCTGGAAGGTTTGAAAATGCGCAATTACCATTATCGCAGCCAAGAGACGAAATAATTGAAAGTACCCAATTCTTAGTCGAGGATTCGCATCTACATGCACAGATGTGCAACGTAAACATGCTTCTTGACTGTGAGGGATACCAGAATGTGCCAGTGTCCGAGCGGACTCCTGAAGAAGACCAACCACTCACTATTTTCGATACTGGTGCTACCGAGGTCGGTGATATCAACTCAAACCAACCATACGAGGAACAAGTCCACCGAGCAGCCGAAATACTCCAAGACTACAAATCCGATATTTTCAGCGATAATGATTTCGGATCGTTGGACGGCAACAATTGGCTTGGCGACCTGGTTTCGGGCTCCTGCTCAGACGAAGCCTTCTCTGCGTCAAATTCAAATACAGGAAACGAGGAATCGATTAATTTGGAAAACTTGTCGGAACTGTCGTGCTTTCAGATGTCCAGCGATAATTCTCTTTTCGACTGCCTCATTCCTACTTGTCAGTCCTGTGTGCAGATTCGATCACAAATCCACCTCATGAGCGAGGGTGGACATAGAGACTTAGCAGAAAATACCCATAATGGATGGACGCTCTGGTATGACGAAGGGGAAAACATTGCGACGGTTCCGAAGAGTGATGCGGACGCTGTTGAGTCTTTGGAAAGTTCGGTCGATAACTTTGGTCACGTGAGCTACGACAGAGTCTGAGATCACGTGGTGCGTGCTTTTACTTGTTCAGTCACTATTCTTTTTATTTTTGTTTTTATTTTATTTTGCTTAAATTCTTAATACATTAAGAGAAAGAAATACGGGTACTCATAATAATAGGAAATTATTATTTTTTTTTTTTTTTTTTTGGTGGGGGAAGGGAGGGAGTTTATAAAATTTAGCAATTAAAAAAACAGAACCTTTTTTTTAAGGAAACGATTGGTAAAATTGCTTTGGGTAATATTCGCAAAATAAATCTTGAATTTGCGTGAGGAAATTTACAAGTAGAAATATATACACGTATAGAAAGACTGGTATTTGGTCAGACGGAAGAATGAAAGAATCGATTGTAGCAAAAAAAGTAAAAAAATAAAAAATAAAAAAAAAATAACGTAGAGAGGCTAATGAACAAAATTATATCGTCTGATAACGGATACACACCCCGGTAGACGAACTGACCGACTTATAGATTTAGGTTGACAGGCAGATATGCTGAAGGGCGGACAATTAGAAGAGAAAAGTGGAGAACAGTGGACAGACTGATAAAAAAAAAAAAACATAACGGCAGACAAAAAGAGTTATAAAAAATGCAAAATTGATGAAAGCAGACGTGCCGGCGCATCTGGTGGCTAGCCTTTTAAAGTTACTCTCTAGGGAATGACCAGAAATAGGATTATTTGGAAACCGTTTTGTTTTTCTCTGAATTTCTTCGGACTTTTTTTTTGTCTTGCTTGTGTGTAACTGTTTGTGATTAATTTATTTATAAAAGTACTATTTTTAAAAATTGTTTTAAGGCTAATAATTATGTTTCTGTAATCATCACTACTATGACTTCTTATGACATCAATAATAGTTATAGCTCTTATCAACGACATATCACTGTGCCTGCATTTATCGACCGGGAAAATACCAATTTTTAAGAATTATCTCTTTTTTAAAATTTTGACATCGGTAAAGAAGTCTGAACAAGATTTGATCGAAAGACGTTAAAAAAGACATTTTTATCAGTTTTTTTTTTTTTTAAATCATAAAACGTATTATTTGGAAACGCAATTTATAATATACAAACGCTTTCTAAAATTATTCCATTGTATTTTTATTTTACTGAATGCATTCTATTGAATAAGTCTTATCGGAATAAAATTATATTTTATCAAATTCATTCTTTGTCTCATTTTTTATTCAGTAAAAGGGGTTATTTTTAAGGTAAAATCTGAGTTTATAATATAAATTATGGAATTATTACAACTTTATAGTAACCCAAATCATGTCTACGATCAGTCAATGTATATAATCATTTCACCTCAAGCAAGGCAATAAAGCCACTAAGATGCAAGGGGGCGGGGAGTTACCAAGTGTTAGAGAATATGAGAAAAATGCTATTAAGCATTAAGGAGAGAAAACAATAAAAGAACAAAAATTAAGAAAACAGTAGATAACGATTGACATTGCATTTAAATATTTTAAGATGAAGGTTAACTAGGAAGCAAAAAGCACACTAGGCGATTATAGCATCAGAATATCTTTTCTTCACAGAACAATATGCATAGAAGGTATAGTTGGTTATCAGTTATAGTAAAGTGTATGAGTGTTGAAACAGTTTGATTTGGCCATGTTAGTTAGACAGCCCACCATAAGAAGAGTATAAAACAAGAAAATCAAATTGTAAAGTGGAACAACAAATTTATATACATATAAATCAATTATCGCCTTTACAAATAAAATTAATGTATTTTGGTTGATACAAGGTCGTCAAAATGTTCGTAGTAGTCCTTGCAATGAACGTATGTATGTATGTATGTATGTATGTATGTATGAGCGTTATCGTACGGTAGGAATGTCTTTGAAGTAATCGCTCAGTCTTAAAATGTTCCGTTCGTTTATCAAGTATAAAAGAGGTGAGGGAGAAAGGTAGAGATCATAATAACGATCGCTTGACGTTTGTCGAGGGGTGTGTTAATACGCTCGTCTCCTTCTCTCTGGTGACAGGCGAACTTGCCCGTCTTTTATTTTGATTGTGGGGCTTGAAAAGGTCATTTGGGAATTCACTCCCGGATATGATTCGGTCCTTTCCATTGGACGACGAACAAACTTTGCGTCGGCTCGCGTAAAGGTCCATAAAAGAATTTTGTTTCTGAGAATTGAAGATTTTTTGAATTTCGTTTTTAAATGTTTCCTAGTTTTCTATTGGCCGAAATACATTTCGCACCAAGGTGTGAAATTTCACGAGTTTTGTTTTGTTTTGGATTCGCTTTTGCATGTGTGTTAAGCAAAGTTTGTAAATTCGAGTCTTTTTAATTTCTAACAAAATCAATGAGTCAGTGCTTAGCATTTGAATTTTTAAATCTAGATCTTGTTTTGTTCACTACAAAGGTATAGAATTTATTTTAAATTAAGACTATGAATGTACATTCCAGTATCTTCTTGGAATTATGGAGCATTATAAAGTACAGGCTCTCGAGAAAGCAGTTGAGCAACATGCTCCATAAGTTTTCTATGGGACTGAGGTCAGGAGATTGGGGCGCCCATGTCATAACACTCATCTGCTTCTCATCAAAGTATTCCTTCATCAATTTTGATTTGTGACAGGGAGCTTGGTGGGGTCGATTTGCACCCTTTCAGAAGAAGGGAGCAAACAAGACTCTAAAATTCTCTTGTACTGCTTGCTCCTGAGGGTCTTTTCAATAGGTTTTAAGAAACCAGTTCCATGAAAAGAAAAGCACCCCTAGAACATTATACTGAACGGATGCTTGACAGTACTTACTGATAAATTCAAAGAGCTTTCAAAGCTTCTTCTTCTTCGGATTTTAGATCGCTTATCCTCTGAATTTAGCTCAACTTTCATTTCATCGGAGAAGAGAACATTTCGTAAAAAAAATCAGGTGAGTCACTTTTATCGAACAGCACTGTACATTATAAGCCAAAATTCATTGGACGTTATGTCTAAACTAGGATTTAATTCAGTCAATTATTCACAGAGTACGTTGCTTGAAACAATAAATAAAACAAGTGTCGCACCATAGAGACTTACAGACGAGAGATGGACACATGGCACGTTGGTTATATCCAGTGACAGGACCCAAAGAGTGTGAGTTTAATACCCGGTTCAAGGCGTTGGAGAACTTTCAGAGGGAAAATTAACAGGAGATAACTGATAACTGACATCCATTAAACATGGCACGTGGAACTAGAACAGTCTACCCTAGCGAGCGAAATAAAGGGTTCAGTTCGACATTCCAACCACCTGAAGAAGGCCGGAGCGTACAACGGCCGAAACGTTGTAATAAATATGGCGACAAAGATGAAGACAATAGTCCGAATAATGTAAATAATGAGAGATGGAAAATATAAAATCTGCCTCCAACTGCTCCTCAAACACAATATCATCAACAGACGCACAAACTCAGAAAATACGGCAATTATTTAAGTAAATGCTCTGTTTATAATAAACGTATTAATTACATTTACCGGTCTAAAAAAATCCGAGAAAATATGTGTCTTCCGTCAGGATTCGAACCTCTGTCCTACATGCAACCGTCATTTTGATCTGACGTCATATACCACTCATCTACAGAGTATGGCACCGGCGCGTTTTCTGTCGGGGGACACGTATTTTCTACAAAATTTCTCAGGCATTCAGACCGGTAAATGTAATTAATAATACTGTTTATTATAAACAGAGCATTTACTTAAATAATTGTATCTATAAAATAAATAGAAAATATATTAAAATAATTGTGTATCTATAAAAATAACGCATAAACAGAAACTATATATATATATATATATATATATATATATATATATATATATATATATATATATATATATATATATATATATATATATATATATATATATATATATATATATATATATATGGATGTATGTATAAAAACAACATTCCCCAAAAGAGTGGGTTCCACTTCTTTGCTCATTTTTCGTCTCTTTAAAACAGGGCACAGACGTGTCCAAAAATTCCGACTTTAAAATCGTTCTCTTCGTGCTTTAATTTAATCAAAAGGCTAATATATAATAAATATCATCAATTTTATTGCCAATATTATTATTATTTTATCTTTGTATTCCTCAAATTTCATTAAATGGCTTATAAAATATATATATATTTGTCTGTGTGTGTGTGATGGTGTGTGTGGTAGCTTACAGTGGCTTTGGTTTAATTCTCTGTATTTGGTGCTGTTGAAGTTATCTCATCAATGAAAGATATCCCCATTTCCTTTCGGTTTTAAACGTTCAATCTTACTTTAATATGCAGTATTATTCACCATGTCATACTAAGTTTGCCAATTCTTGTGAAAACTCCAGTTTGTTTATCATAAATGTTACATTGCCTTTGTCTGCAGTTCGCATGATTTTTCCTGGTATCGCTCTGCGAGGTTTCAAGTTTTTTCTTTTGTGATGCATGATTTATGAGATTAAGCTTTCTCTGTTGCTTGTCAATACCTTCAATTATGACACGGTATGATACTTGGGGGATTACCCCACTTGTCCATCAAAAAACTTCCGCTAACGAACGCGAGATGGCGTTGCTAAAAGCGATATATAAGAAAAAGGCGCAAAAGTTTAATCATTCTTTTTTTTTTACTTTTAGCAATAGGATGTCTTAGAAATAGGATGTGTCTCATTCGTATCCGTGAAAATTTTCAGTTCTCAACGAACATCATGTCGCAGTGAAAACAACACAGAATAGTACAGTATAAGTTTATTTGACTACATGAGTGATTTTCTGATGGCTCCTGATGTTTGGAAGTTTAAGCTGGCTTCAGTTTGCATTTAGCCGCTGTATTTACAGAGAAGTATGAAATGAGAACCACTACAAGCGAAGAAATCAACAAAGGGGAACCGCGTTGGAAGAAAATATGACTAAGAACTACATCTATAATATCCCATGTAGTTGTGGCAGAGAATACAAAAGTGAACCTGAGCACATAAGACGTGCGTAATAATGGAAAGCGTTAAGATAAAGAGATTTTTTAAAATAATTTCCCCAAAGCAAGGCGATAATACCACTAGGACGCAGGAGATTACAGGGAGTGAAAGAGAATGATAAGACTTTAGTAAAGAGAAGTGAGGAAAATGACAATAAAGGAAAAGGACTTATGAAAACAGATAGCGATAGACGTTGCATTTAATTTTTTGAAGATTGTAAGTGCCAGGGAAGCAAGAAATCGGGAGAAATGGAAATATTAGAATAGTATCGGCGGTTGTATCTAGCTATTCAGGGGTCGGCAACCTTTTTGATAGAGAGAGCCAGACAGTTATACAGTGACTCGTAGGAGATCCATGTTATTAAATATTTTTTCGGACTCAGACCGCTCTATACAGAAAAACGCTTTCGTTAAGAGGTATAAAGAAAAACAAGAAATTTAATGCAATTTATGCCCGATGAGAGATCTTGACAATCGTGAGCTAGAGAGTGAACTGCCTGACTATAAATGACTAGTATTTACCGGTCGGCTCACTGCGGACTAGTTGTGACACAAGGTCAAGTTTACGTGGGAAATCCGAGCGTTTCCAACTGGTCCATTGGTCAAAATTTACCCAACCCTCGCTAAACGGGCTCAGGTACAGTACTGGTTTGTTTTACTCAGCCGAGTCTCTATCCGAAGACAAATCCCCGACTGAGTCACTATCCGCCCGAAAACAGAGGTCTTGTCAGTAGCAAGCCAGATAGTGAACCGTCTGACTCAAACTTGTTTTTCTCAGCCGAGTCTCTATCCGAAGACAGAACCCCGACTGGGTTACTCTCTACCCGAAGACAGAGGTCTTGTCTTGTCTTGTCGCAAGCCTGAGACAGACACTGACTGACTGGTATTTACCGGTCGCTCCACTAGATGCGACACAAGGTCAAGTTTGCTGTGAGGAAACCGATTGTTTCCACTCGGGCCACTGGTCAAAATTTACCCAGCTCAAGCAAAATTGAGCTTGGGTACAGTATTGGTTTGTTTTTCTCATCAAAGTCTCTATCCGAAGACAGAACCCCGACTGAGTCACTCTCTACCCGAAGAGAGCCCGGGACAGACTCCGACTGACTACCTCTGACTCATTTTTTGAGTTCTTTATTTAAAACGTCCCACCTCGTTCATTTGTAACAAAAACTTTGAAAAGGCCAGAAGGCACACAGCAATTAATGCCGTGGAAAAATAAATAAGAAAACGATGAAATTAGGCTAAAAAAACGCATACTTCTTTTTTATGCACCGTGTACTATCCTTTGTCATTCTAAGCAATATTTTCAATCTTACTATTCCTCCCAGTTCATATTCTGACTGCAATTAGGTTGGTTATTTGATGTTTTCCTCTGTGCCTCTTAACTTCAGTATGTCCGGTGAGTGTCAAATTTTCCAAACCCACTTTCTTCATTATGCGTCCCAGTAATGACGGTCTTTTTCTGAATCTAAGTACAAGTGTCTTTTCTGTTTCTATTTTGCTTAAAATTTCCTTGTTAGCAACATGTTCCGTCTATAGTATTTTCAACATTCTACTATAGAACTCCATATCTGTCAGTTCAAGTCTCTTCTTTATCTGTAAGGAAATTGCCCAGCCTATCGGAGGATTGATATTACATAGCAGATCAAACAAGAATATATCACTGAGGCTGGTTTTGGAAACTTAGTTTTCTACCAGCTGAGAAATGTTTACCAGTGACGTGCAGATGTTTGGTGATGCCAGGGTGATGCCAACTCCTTCATTCTCCTAAGACTCAAGTAGGGGGACATTCCTTGATTGTATGTCCCTAAAACTCAAGTAAACGTAGGGGGGGTCTACTCCGGTCTCGCTTATCAAAACACGGATCCAAATTCACACCAGCTTATGAGACTCTAGAGCGCTTGTAACAACGTAGTTAACAGAGACAATTTCAAATTTCAAAAACTAAATTTTTATTTCACTCTTTGACTCTGGATGACTTCTCGATATAGATGCCCAGGACGGTCGCACCTTCTGCCCCCACATTCTGCACGCTACTGATGTTGACTACACAATCTATTGCTGGGATATCCATAAATGCAGCATATAGGGTGCCCCAATGTAACTAGTAGGTTATGGTATAACAATTTTAATAGCGTGAGATTTTATTATACAACTATAAGGTTTTTCATTTTACTGGAAATAAATATGAATAATAGTAAAGTTAGTTATATTTATTTTATCCTTTCAGCTTGATAAGTATTTTCATGGATTATAAGAAAGTTATTACATCGAAGAGAAATAAGAAATGATAAGGTTATTGAGCGAATAGAAGACGATGTCGGAAATTGAAGAAAAGTTAAACAGAACAATGAAAATAAGACTTGAAGGCATATTGCAAACCAGTGTGATCTCTAATCTTCAGCAGCTTTGTAAATAACTCTTCTTATCAGTCCTCTCCAAACTTCACTGTCTTATGCTAAACTCACGAAAGATCTTCCAAGCTTTTCAAATTTTTACCGGGAATGATGGAATTTTATTGATAGTTCTTTTAATGCTATCGTCTAATGTCTATGGGTTTTATTCTTCCATTTGGTACTGATGACAAAAGTAATCCCATATTCCAAATACAACTATCAACGTCCCGAAAAAATGATTCCTGCTTTTCTTTTTTCGTAATTCACTGAAAAGAATATGTACCGGTGATATAATATTTAAATGCAATTGCTGGCATTTACAAAGTTTTGAATAAGGAGTTGCCAATTTTTTATTGTTTACTACCGAAGGTGCCAGTACATTCTCCGCTAAAAATAAAATAAGATCACGAATTAAAATTTTTATAGATATGAATAACATTAAAATCTAAGGGAGGTAACTAAAATAACCTAAAATATTTTGTTGGTATTGTCTGCCCATAACTTTTGCGCCGGCACTACTTTGATAAGAATAAGATCCATCTGCGTGGACGTGTGTTTAATTCGCCGCTAATTTCTGTTTCTATGCATGTAATCATTAACATTATCGTGTAATAGTTTGCCTAAATTTCATAAATGAAAAAAATGATGTCTTTGTAGTTTATATTTATATTTTCTTGTACCAGCCGCTTACTCATCCCAACAAAAATAAACTATCCACGTCCTGGGTAAGACGATAAACTACATCCGACAGTGAGTAAGGCCTCTGATCAGGAGGTTTTGAGGAGCGTGGAACCACGTCTTAATTGCTGATGTTCCTAGGTACACGCTGACCCGGAGTGCTAGCACTTGTTAGAGTCCCAGCTATGGGAAAATATTTAACCCCCAAACTGGGGTAAAAAAAAAAAAACTATGAAACTAATGTTAGTAATGAAAGTGTGAAAATAGGTTTTAGTACCAGCAATATATCTTTAATTTTTGGAAAAACATATTACCAGCAATACATTTTTGGGGAAAAATACCAGCAATACATTTTCGAACAAAAAAAAATATTACCAGCAATATATTTTCGAAAAAAAAAATTTGCCATTGCATTGCGCGTTGAAATATCAAAAAGATTTCTTGCATTTTCTAGAAATCAATATTTCTTGAATATTAATAAACAAAAACTCTATTCGTCATGGATTAATAATTATTTATAAACTCATCAAAAGAATATTTATGCACAGCAGAACTAAAAGTATTACACACACGTGTGCGCGATAAAATTAACTTTGTTATCTTTTTTTTAGTTTTTCTTTCTCTCAGTTGTGAATTTTCCTCCGAAATGTTTGTTATATATATTTTGTGTTGGGTATTAAAGAGATTATTAAAAATTTAATAGGGGCGAGTGCATCGGTTATATGCAAATAATATTCCACTTTAAAGGACTTCTTGAGTATCCGCGAATTTAGGTATCTGCGGAATTTTAGAACCAAAATACTGCGAGACGTCTTCACGAGTTTTCTTTTTTAATACTTTTTCAAGGGGAATAACTTACTGTGATTATCTCTCAATTATGGATCAACTCCGAATTTACAGAACTTGAATCGTGCTTCGTTTGGGAAATCCTTGAAAATGAAATCACTGCTGTTACTCTTGGAGAGTTACAGCAGGGATTTCGAGGATTATAAGAATATTAGAAAATAAGCAGCGTATCGTAGACAAATCTAGAAAATTACCGAGTTGCAATTCGAAAATAATTTAATTTGGTATTACGATTACCGTATATATTCATATAATCTATCAGAGTTCAACATTTCAGATCCTTAGGATATAGGAGATAAGTTTTTTACCAGTACTTCCCTTGAAAAAGCTCGGTTAAAAAAAAACATAGCCCATTCTGCTAAAATCTCTGATAACCATGTGACATCTCAACTTACCGGAAGTATCTGTGTACGCATGCGTCAAATTTGAAAATTTGCTTCTGCTCATGTAAACAAAAAGCTACTTTTTTTAAAAAAAAAACTGAACTACTAACAAAAAATATTTTATACTTCTCGGCTCCATTAACCTATCTCTTGAGGTTTTATTTTTTTTTTAAATTAGGTTCAGTTTTGGTCATTATATTGTTTGTAATGTTAAGTATTAGGTAAAAAAAAAGAAAATCCTCCAAATACCTACACATAAGTCGAAGTAATTTTTTTAAACGAGTATTGTTTTAAAAAAAAAAAAAAAAAAAGGTTAAACTAAAATTTATCAGTATTTTCTTAAAAAGTTTTTTAATGCTTTAGTTTTTAAGTCAAAACTAAAATATTATCTGTATTTTTTTTTTTTTGTGAATTTGTTTCGTTTTTTTTTAATTTTATTTTATTTTTATATATTTTTACCACGTCAAGGTAATCGGTGAACAAGTGAGACCGCAATGTAACTGGAATTTTTGGAAGATTTTTCGTTTTTTGATTTATTTCAGGTTTTTTTAACTTTTATACATTAAAAAAAATAAGGTAAATTATCAACAGTACAACTAACGAATAACTTATTTCTTTTACTTTACGGTTCCAGGAAAAAAAAAAGATTGGTGGAAACACTTTACAAAATCAGCAAGATGGTGATTATGGCTCATAATCTCCACATGTTTTATTCTATTATACTTTCGTTCCTGGTCATGATAGCTATCCTTGGCCCTTCTTTATTTATTTTCCTTGTTGTTTTTTGCCTTACTGCACTATGGTGGTTCCGTGTAGCACCTGTGCCCGAAGCATCTGTTAATGCCGTGCTTGGTGACAAGCCTCTTGTAATTGCTCACAGAGGAGCTGCTTTAGATGCCCCAGAAAACACCATTGAAGCTTTTCAACTGGTGAGTACGTTGTTAATAATAATAAAATTTTAATTACCAACCTTTCAAAGATAAAATGAAATGCTTTATTACATATTTTCTATTAATTTTTTTCTTGCATGTTATTTTCTTCTTCTATGTGCCGTGTACCTTTGGGACGTGAACACTTATGGCTCACCGCAATTTTCGGGCCTTTGTAGCTCTTAGTAAATGTTAATTTTAAGTAAATCTCTAACCTTCCTAATCCTTGTTCTGCCAACCATTTGCACAGGATAGGTTATGCACTACATTTTCCCCCTCAGTCCCACTTGCCTTCATTTCAAAATGTCCTGGGATTGTTAATTTTTCTAATCTCTCTTTACTCATTATGTACCCTAGAAATTTCAATCTCTTTCGGATTTGAAGTATAAGTGCCCTTTTTGTTTCCATTTTTTCTAAAATTTTGTCATTGCACACAAGTTCAGTCTATTTTCAGCATCAGTCTGTAGAACCACATTTCTAAATAAAAAAAAATAAAAAATAAAAAAATTACTTTCACTACTAGGTTGGACATACACATCAGACAGCAGTAATTTAAAGTTAGGCATCCCTGCATTTTCAGTATTTTTCCCTTACATTTGTTCATATTTTGTTCCCTCCCCCTACATATATGATGCCATTAGTAAAAAGATTTAGTCACAAGAAATCCTTTGGAAGAATGAAATTGAAATGCATCACATAGGATTTTTTTTCCATTTTGTCATTCAATTACTCAACATTTGATATAAAGAGTTTGTATATCATATTCTTCGACATTACTTTTGCTAAAAACCTTGCTTCTTCATAAATACGACATCCATTAAGTGTTATTTTTAAAGTCTTCATTTTTTTTTAAATCATTTCACACTAAGCAAGGCAATAAAGCCACTAAAACACAAGGGGTTACTGAGTTTTAGAGAATATGAGGAAAAAAAAAACACTATTAAGGAGAGAGACCAATAATAGAACAAGAATTAAGAAGATAGACAATAATGATTGACATTGCATTTAAATGTTTGAAGAACAAAGTTGATTCAGAAGCCAAAAGTGTTCCACAAGTAAGCAGTGTGATAAAAGAAGCTGTTAACATAGAAATTATGGTTACATCTAGTCATTTCAACGGTAAAATAATTAGACCATGCCTCCAAACTAGTACTGTGCTTAAATTCATAAAGTCTAGGTACTAATAAATATGAAAACAATTTTTATTCATAAATTTATAAATATTTACTAAATTATTAAAATATATGAACCAATTATAAGGAAATCCTTATTATATACCATTTTATAAAGTTTGAATCAATTAGCAATTAGCCAATGTTTTCTCGACCATTCCAATAAACAATCTAATAAATAGTGTTTATTATTATTTTTGTCAATTCTCAAGAACAAAGAAAATGTATAAATTTATTTTCATATGTTTAGGATTTATTACAATTCTAATCATTGCTTTTTAAAACTATAAACATTACCAATTGAATGAAAGCAGTTAAAATAATAGTGATGTCAATGGAAAATTCACGCTTTTAACACTTTTTTTTGTGAGCACAAAGGTCCAAGTTTCACAAAACTTTTTTGTCATATACCTGCTCAAAATTTTCTAACCTATTAAATCTCCTTGCAGGCTAAAAAGAATGGAGCAGATGCCATTGAATTTGACTTAGAATTCACAAAAGATTCTTGTCCTGTTATCATACATGATGATACTGTTGACCGTACCACAGATGGAAAAGGTCCAATCAGCAGTTATTCCTTTGAAGCTATCCAGAAATTAGATGCTGCAGCAAAGCACAAAGATGGGTAAGGTACTTAATAACCTTTTTGCATTTAAAAAAAATTAAATTTGTCCTGACCACTTTTCAATTGCAGGCTTTCCAGCAAAAAAATGTTCAATTGCATTCAATTTCAGATGAATCTGGTAGGGAAAACATTAAGTCGATATTTATATTAAAAGAGTTAACCAAAACCAATAATGGAACTTTTTTTTTAATACTCAAAAAATATCACATTTAGTGGCTTTCCCTCAATGACAAGCTACTCCTGTTTATAAAATATATATTATGATTATTTGAAAATACTAATGATTATTAATTATTAATAAAGTATTATTACTAGTATGCGACTGTGACTAAAATAGAGTGCAGACAAAAGTAAATGAGCCTGTAATTAGCAGTTAACAAACTTGGAGTTGTCTCCCTTAGACATTTTTTTTTTATTTGTTAATTTATACTTAAAATTTGCTTTATTCTCAAAGTTGAAGAATTTAAATAGTATTGTGCAACAATATGCTGTTTTGCTGTTGCAGTAAAAAAACACAGAAATTGAATTATTGTAATAGTAATGTTTTATCTTGTTAATATACCTATACATAAAGGACAGCATTAATGATGAAATGTTGTTAGAATACAAGGTGTTATTCCTACTAGACTGTTGATTCCTTCTTGACAGAAAAAGGTTTAAATGAAGAGATACTATGATTTGTATCATTACTAATTTTTTATTAAGTTAATTTTTATATTTGAAAAAAAGAAATTAAACAACACTAGCAAAATTTACAAAGAATAGAAATTTAAAACTGCACCTATCATATTTTTGCATGTATAAGGTGACCTTCAAATAAGATAAGGTAAAAAAAATATAGCAAATTTTCATGAATTTATCATATACCTGTAGTATAAGGTAACTGCTTATTTTTTTACTTAGAAATTCAAAATTAATGAAATAACAAAACCAAATTTATATCATGTTTTTTCTACATGTCCCCTGAAAGGGAAACCATTGTTTTTACTTTTAATCACATGATTCCTTGCGAATACTGATTCTTCTTCCACCTTTTCTTTTCCTATATCTAATTACTTACAAACAGCCTGGTGTACTAACGGCCATTTATTTATACTTTATTGACAATCACAAAATAACAGTAAATGTACGATAATAGCACATTCCATTGCTGTGAACACAATCATAACTTGATGTTTACATTTTCTCGGCTGAACTTGCATGGATACAACTTGATTTCATTGATATAGAATTATTCTTTGAATACGCAATTTATTATGAAGTTATGTCAGTAATATATGAAGTAGAAATGGTTTTATTACTTTTATTGTGAGATTATTTTTGTGTATGCTATTCTTTTTGTGTATGCTATTGATTACCATACCAAGACCGAGGTTAGCCTACCGACAAACATCACTGAGAATTTAAAGCTTCTTTTTTAGAATTATAGCATAAGACAACCTCCAATTTTTAAAGGTGATTTTGGGGATTTAAAGGTTGTCTTAGATGTGGAAATATACAGTAAATATATTTTCAGAGAAATCAATGTTATCATTAGACATAATTTTTTTTATTTTTATTTATTATTTCTTTCCTTGTCATGGTTGAGGACTTGCATGTCCCTGTGATTCCAAGAGTGAAGCCACCTAGAGTTCCAACTCCTATAGGGCCACCCATGGCAGTAAGGTCGAGGAGGAAGGACCAGACTGAACATGACCAACCCCAAAGACCCCAACAGTGGAATAGGCAAAGATCTCAACAGATAAACCAGCAGAAGAGGGCAATGCCTATCAGCCTGGTGTAACCAAGATGGACTTTGACAGCCTAATGCAACCAGGTTTACCAGATCTTGCTCGTCTGAATCCCCTTTAAGCCACAAGAGATGTACTTCTGGCCAAGTGTGTGAGCTTCTCCCTTGTGAAGAGTTGTCCATCAAAATCAAATTCATCTGAATGGCCTTGTCAAACTCACTTCAATTCACAGCCATCTTCGTCACCAGGGGAAGAAAGGTAATAGGGTGTAAGGATGAGGATCCTGATGCTCAAAGACAAGTGAGTGACAATGACTTTAGAGACCTTACTTAATAATAAAAAAAAAAAATGACAATTAAAATTTATGAAAAATTAGGTTTAATCAATTTAAAGAAAAACAATGGAAAATTTGACCATGGGTAGCCTATAAAATAATAGCCAGAGCCCCTTACACAGGTGTATAGGATAGTCCATGCATGAATGGTCAAGTGATTAGAACATTGATTTTCCAACCATAAGACCCAGGTTTGAATCTGACCATGGTTAATTTGTCAGGAAAATGACTTCTTGATGTTATCAGCCTGGGGAGGTGATCCCAGTATGTGGCACATTTGCAAAGTACCTGAAAAACTATACTGTGGGTTGACCCAAGCCTTGTGCATGAAATTGGGTAGACAGGACTGTTCAGGAGCCATTGATTGTCATGCTAGCACAAAATTACAAGTCATTGTGACCGAGGGTTTGAGTGTACTAGCCTTGTTGAAACTTGATCATGGTAGATTATCTACTTTCTCCCAGAAACTGTAACTATGGTCCACTCTGCAATAGTTGCAGTATAAATCACAGGTGAGCTCTGTGTTGGAGTTAAATGAGCACAAAATGTTCCTATTCAGTCATCTATGAAACACAGTTTCAGCAATTATCTTTTTTATTCTAATCATTTTATCCCAAGCAAGGCAATAAAGCCACCAAGATGCAAGGGGTTACTTAGTGTAAGAGAATATGAGAAAAAGAAAACATTATTAATCCTGCGTTAGTTACATTGGGTGTTTTGTTACTCTAAAATGTTTAAAGTACTCATAATTCTTAGTTGGCAACTTGTTTCTTTTGCTCTCTCTCTCTCTCTCACTACCCTCTCGACTCAGTGAGGGTGGATGTAGCATGCAGTGGGGTGCCATTGTAGCTCAGTTGTCCATTTTTAGAAATCTGAGGTGACTAACAAGAAAACAATAAATGAACAAGAATTAAGAAGACAGAAGTTAGTGATTGAAATTGCATTTAAATTTTTGAAGATCAAAGTTGGCTGGAAAGCAAGAAGCCAGAAGGGAGTTCCACAAGTGAGAAATGCAGGAGAAGAAACTATTAGCAAAGAAATTGTGCTTACATTTCAACTATAAAATGATGAAACTTTGCTGCCAATCTAGTAGTATGCTTACATTTGTAAAGTCTAAGTACAAAAGAGGAAAGCTCCTTAGAACAATTATCATGGAAATATTTATAGAAAAGGCACAAGGAAGCTACATTATGTCGGTGGGTAAAATTCCTAATTGTTACTGCTAAAAATTGTTTTTTTGTAGTTATTTGATACTGCAATGCTTTAAAATGGAAAGTTTTTTTTTAAAAAAAAAACATTCAAAATACTGAATATAGAAACATCAAAGTTTTTAGTGCTACTATAGTATGATATCTACCATGCATTTTCTACTATGGTATTATATTTACAAACTGTTGGAAATATGTTAGCACTAAAGGCTGGTTATGTATTAAACATCATTAACAATTTTTTATAGAAAAAAATAAAAAAATAATGATTTAACATTTGTAAACTGATTTGATGTCATTGAAAAAACCAGTAAACAAGTTATCATTTTTCCTGAACATTTTCCAGCAATAATGAGTGCCTTGTCATTTATGGTAGGTCACAAATACCTCTGTAGATATCATACTATAGTAGCTCCAACTTTTTCTTTAATTTCTACCACTTATCATAGAAAACAATAATTTGGTAAGTTTTCTATATACATAAGATAATTTCTTCTTCACCAGTTAGTGCCACAAGAAATGCATGGCATAAGTTCCATGTTTCTTACTCTCTTTCAACAGTTTTGCAATAATAACAATGTGACTTTCAAAAAAAAATCTGTTCCTTGTTTAATTTACTTTTTTTTTTTTTTTTTTTGGTCCGTGGTATGGAATTCTTTTATTGTTCTGCTTCATTTGGTAACTTTTTCAGGTGCCTTGAATAATACAAGTCAGTGGTTTCTTTGGACTGCATTTTCAGAATAAAAATTTGCTCACACCTCACCAAATTTTGTGATAAAAAATACATTTAAAATTAAAAACAGAGAGAGATAATTAAAGGGAGATAACCACGGATTCGAACTCAGACCATTATCATTGATAACTCTCTCCTCCAATTTGCGGAGCCTAGTTACTATATTCTTAATATTTGATATAATGCAAAAAAAGTTCATGTCACTTAAATGCTACAAAAACAGTATTTATATGACCCAATATTTGTTAGATGTTCACTCTTATTTTGATGACTTGTATATTTGATCAACCAGGTAAAATGAATATTTACTGCAACTCTTTTACATTTCTTTAAAAGATCATTAGGTTCCTTTTTATATAAAAGAAATGTGTTATACTTGACCATTTGTCATTAAAAAAACTTGAGATACGAGATATAACAAAATTTACTAAACAAAATCATATTTCTCAATTATTAGTTGAGACAGAATTACTAGCAAATGAATATAGTATGAATATAATGATAGAATACTGAAGTGTAATGGTTGTTATCAATGTACCAAATGCAATAACACAGTGATGATGATAGGTTTTTAAATTACTGTAGTGAGTCCCCAGGACACACAGGTGGTGATTTGAGTGGGTCCCCAGGACACACAGGTGGTGATTTGAGTGGTTCCCCAGCAAAGTTTCTTAATAAATTGTAATGTTAAACTGCAGGGCTCCAGACTGAGTTTTTTTATTATATTACCATAATCCTGAAAAACAATTTTAATTATCCAGAATCACTTAAAAGAAGAAAGTTTATTTTTTTCTTAAATTGATAGAACAAAAATTCGCTTTTTTTATTATGGCATGTATTTTTTGTGTATAATAAACAAAAAATACTGAAAGTTGTTTTTTTTTTTAAATTGACAGAATAAAAGTTTTTTTTTTTTTTAATTACGAAATTGGATGTGTTGCTTTTATTTGAATTTGTTCAACATTTTGTTCACATGCAATATAGCCACTTCTATTTTATTCGATAATTTGTTTTGGTGCTATTTATGTTGTTAGAGAAATCAAAGTCAACACATCCAATTTGGTTTCTTATAAAAAGTGAATTAGATCAGGCACACTTTATAAAATTTAAGTAATCTCCCTTGAACCAGCTTAGCAAAACGGGACTAATTATTCAGTGATACACACACACACACACACACACTGGGTGCGATGGGTAAATTGTCGTCTAAATTACACAAAAATTAAAATAATACTGACATCTCATTTTAATAGATATATTTATCAAAATTACACAAAAATATCTTGAAATACTAAAGAATAAAAAGACAAAATTTCTTGTAGTAATTTATAGTCACCTGTTGGTGCAAGAAAAACATTTTTTTTTTTTTTAAATTTTGAAGGTTCTAAAAAGCATGGAAAAATATAATTTAATATCTCAAAAAAATCCTTTGATCTTTCCTCTTAATAATAACAAAGATTTTGTGGTGGGTAAATGAAATATACATTTTCTTTTTATCCTGGTCCATACGAACTCAAAAGGAACTTTTTAGTGTGTATGCAACAAGTCATAATTTCTGATCTCTCATTCAAAAGATTTTTTTGTCTAGAAATGTTGTTATTGCTAACTTTTCTTGTTGACAAAGGTTGCAGATATTACTGTGGTTGTTGTAAGGTTGTAAATATTTTATTTCACTAATATTTATTTTTTTTTTACACAGGACACAGTTTGGAAAAGTGAAAGTTCCTAGTCTTGAAGAAGCAGTGGTAGCTTGCCTTCGGCTGAAACTGAAAATGTTTATTGATTGTAAACGAGATGCAAAGTTGGTAAGTATTTTTTGGGCTACTTCTTTTTTTATTCACAAGATTTTTTTCTTTTTATAAATCTACAGTCACAATTTAGAATTAAATATGCATATTGTTTGGAGGACTTTCTCCTAACAATTACTATCCTGTAATCATGAGACCCTTGACTTTTAGCTCATGGAATATGTCAATAAAAACAGGTATTAAGAGGTGGGAGGTTACTTATTGAGTGAGCAGTAAAACCGAGACCAAAAAGAGATTACACCAGAAACCTCAATTCTCGCGTGAAAACCTAGTCAGGCAAACTTTTCTACAAACATTGACAAACCTATGTAGAGCACATATTTTGTGGCTCATTGAAATCCATGTAAAGCTGATCAAATGTGCTACCCAAAAGTTAGAAAGATTTGGACAATATATATATATATATATATATATATATATATATATATATATATATATATATGTGTGTTTTGTGTGTGTGCTAAGTTCCATACAGATTGTAATTCTTTAAATCAGCGTTCTTTAATCTGAAAAATACTTGGAATGTTTCAAATTAGCAAGCTTTATTTACACTATTTATATTGTTTGAACTGTTATCCTCATCTTCATTGCCATATTTATGACATTTCGGTCATTGTAATTTCGAACTGAACCCATATATCTTTCTCTCCAAGTTTTTGTTCACCTCTGCTTTAGCCAGATATTGAACTCATAACTCTTTGGGTCAAGACACTGGATTCAACCAATGCTTTTATCCAGTGGGTCATGTATCCTTGAGGACATCAGTGTATGAATTTTGGGGACTTATAAACCTAATGCCTAATTTTTTTTTTACCAGAGCTCATATTATAATTTTGTTGTTATTGTTTTTCACTAGCACTCCATATTACTGGTTCCCATATTGTATTCATTTCTATGCTTGGCCAGCTTAGGAGATTTTTTTGGCCTAGCATATGTGTTGATTCCTTAAGTTTTTGTATTTTCCAGTGATGTTCTCTATTATTTCAACTTCATCTCACAGAGGGCAGTGATCTCCCTTTTTCTTCCATATGTGGTCAGCTATGCCTGATTTTTCTATTTCCCCTCATGTTACAGCTTTATAGTATTGTTGCAGTCTTATCTTAAGGGGGCAGCCTGTTCCTCCTTAATATTTCTTACCACAGCTGCCTGGGATGGCATACACACAGTTCATGTTCTCCTCTATGGGAAGTTTTACTCAGGAGAGGTGTCTGCAAAGTGTTGAACAACTTTTGAAGCTCGTCTTGATGGACCACAGATCTTTTATATTTTTTTCCAATAATCCCTTCACGTGGGGTAGGCAGACCAAAGCGATTTTCTGAGTTATTATCCTCTTACACCCTTCTATCCTGGTTTGTCGGAACTGCTGTCGTGTGACACAGGTAGTGGTTACATTGTAGAGTACTGCTTATACTGACCATTTCTTGTTCATATGTCTCTGGTTCACCACTTATGACTTTTGCTTGATGTTGTAAGCAGCGGATGATCCCTTTCTATACACTGTATGAGTGGTGGAAGTTAAAGTTGAGGTATTGTCCAATGAATGTTGGCTTGCACTATATGTATGTCTTGAATTCATGCTCTATTTGAGATATTAGTACATCCAGGAATGCTAGTTTGTTGTTGTTTTCTCTTTTCATTGTGAACTGTATCGATGATCTTATTGAGTTCACATGGTCCAGTAGTAGCTGGACGTCTTTCTCATATGGCCAGAGTATGAAGGTGTCATCTATATATTTCAGATATCCTATATCAGCTAAAAAAAAAAAATGTCTGAAATTAGTACTAGGCCGAAATGTGTTTATAATAACATCTATAATCAGTACTTTGAATAAATTAAAATTAACTTTTAAAACTAGTTAAAATAGTCCAGAATTTAAATTTATATTTAAAAATATAATGAGCATTTTATGATTAAGCACAAAGTTAAAAATGATATGAAGTATTTTTACTATATAATAACAATTGTACCATAACAGTTTTTTGTTTAACTTTGTTTTATGTGATTTCCAGACCGCTCAGTGCCTCAGTCAGTTATTTACCAAATATCCTGATATGTACAAAGAAACTATTGTGTGTTCCTTTTACTTTAATATAATTTATAAGGTATGTATTATTTATTTTATTCTTGTGCTATTCATTTTCAAAATTTTTGCTGGTTGAGATAAAATTTAGATTAAATTTTAAAAATGGAGATTAAATCTAAAATAAAAATGTTTCAGTGAATTTTACTCCAATTATGACACTTGCAAAGAAATTGTTAATTTCCATTTTGTTGTCAATGAGAGCTGTATTTATCTCTGTATATAATACGCCAAGTGTAATTGTATATATTTTGTCTATAAATTTTTGCTGTTGTAGTGTTATTTCCCTTTGACTGGATTATATATATGTAAAATATATAGAAAAAGAGAGAGAGAGAGAGAGGATTAATGTGAATAAAATTGTCATTCAGCTGATTGATGTTACCTTCAGCATCCTGACTCCAGAGTTTCATAGACAAGTCTGTTCATCCACTCTTTAGGGGGTATTGGCAAATTACTCGCTATATATTGTTGCTTCAAATGTTATTTTAAGTGGATAACCATATTTGAGTTAAGACTCAGTTTATTTTGGCTACTGATCTGGGCATTCAATAAAACTTAATAAAGAAAAGATGCCCTCTGGTAGAATTCAGAGCTGTGTCCTTCTTTGTAGAAGAAACCCCTGTATGATCCAATGTGCTTTATACCTGTTGTCTATGGAGACCCTCACAGCCAAGCAAGGGTCTATTTACATAAATACACAGTTCTTTGTTCTCTAAAGCCAGATCTGCTCAGTTTTGTATTCAAAATGTAAACAAAGCAATTTCTAAAGAATTAATGGATTTTTATTTTTAATCTGACACAATTTATTACTTCAAACATTATTGAAATGTTATGGAAATCCATATTTGAGTAGCACAGTATTGTTAGAATATTTGAAAAATAAAGCAATTTCCAAACCAATTTACAACTTAATAAATGCAGAGAGTGACGCAATATCAACCTCAATGGGTTATTTAATGCCGACAAGATTTTTATTGCTGGTAACATTTTTTTTCAAAAAGTATTTCTGGTAATATTTTTCCCAAAAATGTATTGCTGGTAATAATTTTTTCTTTGAAAATTTATTGCTGGTAATAATTTTATACAAAAATGTATTGCTGGTATTAAAATCTATTTTTAATTGTTTTAACCTCAGTTTTGGGGTTAACTATTTTCCCATAGCTGGGATCCTAACAGATGCTACCACCCTGGGTCAGGGTGGACCTGGGAACAACAGCAATTAAGAAGTGGTTCCATGCTCCTCAAAACCTCCTGATCAGAGGCCTTGCTGCTGGATGTAGTTTATCATCTTACCCAGGATGCAGATGTAGTTTATTGTCTTACCCAGGATGAAACTTAATAGTGGTGGGGTAATTGACATGACACTTACTGCAATAATACATATTATAATGATCAAACTTCTCAAAGGTGATAACTTGAGGCATATAAAATGTTGTTTATAGACTAGTTTTCCTTATTTATGAGTTGGTTAATTTATTGACGGATATGTTGGTAGCATAATGGTTATCTGTGCAGAAAAGGTGAGCCTTGTTCAAATTTCTGCCTAGTTTGTTGCATTCATTTTTGTGCTAATGCTCTTGGGAACGTCTTAAAAATATCTCTTCTTTCCCCAGCTATGGGTTAAATAACAGGGTAAAAGTGGGCTCTCTAGCAAGTCTATGAGAAGAACACTCTGAATTCAAAACCATGGAGAAGGCAACAGGAAACCACCCCACTGTCTTTCAGAAGGACTCATGACAATTTACAGATAAAGAAAAGGCATCTAGGGAGAGCCATGCTTATCTATGTACTGAAGGAATATGGAATTAAAACAAAATCTAAATAACAGTAAGAGTAGTAACCTCAGTGTGTGTGTGTGTGCCCCTTATTTTGTGTAACCTCACTCTGTTACTACACTGGAAAGTTTCATCCCCTTCTTTTTTGTTTATATACATTTGTATTTGTAATCTATATGACCAGATTTTAATATTTAATTTGATATGATATTTATAATATTGGAATTTTGGGGAGAAGTGCCTATATATTGTGTGAGGACATTTCATCACTCCCTTGGGGATATATATATATATATATATATATATATATATATATATATATATATATATATATATATATATATAAAATAGCTGACCACTCGTATTTGAGGATATCCATCTATTAGGGTGGCTAGCCAATCTTATTGCTGATGCTTGCTCAGGCACATTTGTTTGTTCAACACTCACAAAGCCAACCTGTGGTTTATACTGCAACTATGCTAAGCAGACCTTAGTTACAGTTTCTGGGAGAGAGTGTGTTATCTAGCAAGATCAACATTCTGAACAAGGCCTCTAAGGGTTTTGTCTCTACCCTTTGATGGCCTCTAAGGGTTTTGTCTACTCAATTTCACTCACAAGGCTTGGGTCAACCCGTGGTATGGTTTCAGGCACTTTCCAAATGTCCCACATGCTGGAATCGCCCCTTCCAGGTCGATAACATCAGGAAGTCTACTTCCTGAAAAACCAACTGTGGTGAGATTAAAACACAGGTCTCATGGTCAAAAGCGAACGTTCTAACTATTCGGCCATGCACCCATATATATATATATATGTGTGTGTGTGTATTTAGGCAGCAATCCTTTATTTATGCATGTTTCATTAAAAACAACAGACACGGTACGATTAAGCTTTTTATTTAATTTTCCTTGTGTTCAAACAAGGGCTTTCTTTTTGGGACACAGAGTGTGTAGAAACTATCCAAATGTTCTATAATTCTGAGTGCTTTCGGCTATACTTTTATCAAGGATGATTTTTTTTTTCAGTTTGAGTGTGTGCATTATGTGTATGTTTTTAGTGTTATAGAGATGTTTTATTTTCTGAACATGGTTAGCACATTGTGGCCTTGTTCATAGTTAATATTGTTAAGTGTTGGGTTTTTCTTTATTATTAGAGCTTCCATTATTTTTAATCTTTTTTTTACAAGTGAATGAGGTTATTATGTTTGTTTTCTACTAGTATGTTTCGAATGGAGTCTGGTAAGTTTGTGTGTGTGTGTTTAAATGGGTTCTAATAGAGCTATGGTCAGATAGGTGTAACTTAAGGCATCTGGATAAGCATGTAGTTGTGTGACTGATGTAATTATGAATTCAGTTTGATCAGGAACACAGTTACTTAAGGGCCATTTGAACTCATAGATAATGTTTGTTCATTGTAATTTTGACTTTGCTGGCGTGTTGTTATTTTTGAGGATAAGGTTGGCTGTTTTAAATTTTTTATAGCACATAATTAATTTGATTTTTTTTTATTTGGTTCAATTGGGGTAGTGTATGTCTTTATAATATTTTTAAGTGAATATTCATCTTTGTAGTTAATGTGCATTTAGTTTTTGTAGAAAATATTTATGTAATTTTTGACTATGTTCACTATCGTTGTTATTTACTTTGGAGAGAAATAGTCTAATTTGGTGGTCTATAAGGTGGTTAAGGAAGCCATTATTAATTAGTGTCTGTTTTACATTATTAAGTTCTTTAAGGAAGAGTAATCAAGGGGATGAATTCTGGTGTGCTCTTTTTAGGAAGTTTTTTTATTACTGCTATTTTCTATTTGAGTGGGTATTCACTTTTAAAGTTAAGGTGACAAGAGTTTCTGCTAGTGGGTTTTTTTATATAATGAGGTAATAAAAGTTATTACAATATTCTGTGAGAACATCTAAGAATGGGAGTTTCTTTCGTAGGTAAAGTTGAGGACAGTTTTTCTCAAATGTGGTCTTAAGAGTATCTATTTCTTTAATGTTATTTGCTAAAATAAAAATATTGTCTACATAGAGGACATATACTTTAGGTTTACAGACCTATTTAAATATCATATTTTCTACATGGGACATGTAATAATTGGAAAATCAAGAACCAAGTGGATTTCCCATACTAACACCATTAGTTTGGGTGTAAATGTTGCCGTTATGGTCATGGAATGGGACTTTGGTTGTGCATGCGTGTAGTAATTTTTTGAGTATAAATGGTTTGATGGATGACAGTGGGATAGAATTATTCTTACAATCTAAAAGTATTTTCTGGTTTTAGATAACCTGCATTTACATTACTTGCATGAGTGTGCTTTGTACAAGATTTAGATGTATATACATATTTTCATGGAGAATAAAGAAAAAAATTAACTGAAAAAAATTAACTTTTATCTTAACAAGAAAGAAAAAAAAAAACACACGTTTTCTTAGTATATTTTTAATATATACTGTGCAAAATACCAAACTGAAAGGTTTGTGTCCAAAACGGGAAATAGTATAACATACAAATGGAAACTATACAAGAGAAAAATTAATAAACCTTTTAAAAACTTTCTCATTTTTGTCTCCTTTCTCTTAAGTTGCGACAAATTGACCCAAAGATAGTCACTGGGCTCACATTCAGGCACCAATTCATTACCAAAAGTTTGGATCAGGAAAATTCCAGGTGGTGGCATTGGTTAGCTTGCATTGGTGACATTCTTTTGGAATTGGCACACCATATATTCCTCTGGTACCTGTGTGGAAATTCTGCCTGTTTGATGAACAACCTATGCTATTCAAGGTATTTTTCATTTATCTACATCTGTAGTATATTTGCAAATCTACAATTTGTCTGGGCTGTCAATATTAGTATTTTTTTTTATATAGATATTAATTTCACTGCATGCATATTCATAAAATATTTGAAAGACATAGTAGAATAGAATACTTTTGATTCATATGTGCTGTATTTTTTTTTTTTTTTTTTTTTAATTTATTTATTTATTTATTTATAATCAATATCACCCCAAGCAAGGCAGTACAGCCACTAAAATGCAAGGGGTTACAAGGTGTGAAATTAGGAACAGAAACATTAGTAATGAGCAGAAAGAGAAAAGAGTAATCAGGAGGACAGTAGATAGTGATTGACATTGCATTTAAATCTTTGCAGATTAAAGTTGGCTGGAAAGCATGGAGCCGGAAGGAAGTTTCACAAGTGAGAAGTGTGAGAAAAGAAAAGAACTTGCAGCCACATCTAGCCAGCTCAACTGTAAACTGATGAGATTTCAACACCAGTTTATTACTGCATTTAAATTCATAGGTACCATAATGAAGAGCTCATCTGAACAATTACTATGAAAGTATTTATAAAAAAAAAAGGCACAGATAGGCAACCTTATGGTGGTGAGCAAGTGACTGAAGCTGAGCCACCAGATCAGGACCCATAATATTGCTGATTCTTCTTTAGATTTATCAAGGAACTCCAGGTATATAGCAGGGGCACCAGACCATATGTGGCAGCAATATTCTAAGCATAAACAAATGCTAAACTTATAGAGATACAAGATAAATTCCAGAGAGAAAAGCTGTCTTGTATGACACAGTAAACCAACTTTCTTAGCAGCCGACTTAGCAATGGATTCAATATAATCTTTCCACTTCATGTTAGCTGAGAACATTAGAAGGCACAAGTCACTTTCCTGGAGGTTAGCATCAGGTGATTAATGCAAAGAAGATTAGTTTTGGAGGCATAAAAATTGACAAGCCATCTTTTGCCCCAGTTAATGACAGTCTTGAGATCATTTTTACATCAGTTGCCATTTTTGACCTTGATGAACTGATTAGCATTACTATTGAGGCAGGAGTAACTGGTAGTGTTATCAGCATAGATGCCAAGTTGAGAGCTGATGTCATCAGAAAGGTTGTTAATGAAAAATAGCATAGGACCAAGGATGGAGCCCCTGGGGGATACCTGCATTAGTATGAAAGGACCTAGATGAGTGGCTGTTCAGGATAACTTTTATTTCACGATTTGATAGTAAAGACTGGATCAGCTCAAAAATGTGTCTGGAGACACTCTAACTTTTCAGCTTGTGGAGAAGACCTGAATGCCTGTCAAAGGCTTTCAAGATGTCCAATGATACAGCTCAGGCTTCACTGTTTTTATTAAGCACTTGATAGACTCTTTCCATAATTATCATCAGCACATCAACAGTTGACCTGGAGAAACAAAAGCTGTATTGTTTTTTCTGAGAAAAGGCCCTGCAATGAGAGATGAACCAATTTAGCATTAATTAGGACCTCTAAGAGTTTCCCAAAAAGAGGTAGAATGCTAATAGGCCAATAGCTGGAGGGGTTGGATGGTTCTTAAAAACTAGAACAACAGATGATAACTTCCAGCAGGCAGGAAAGCAAGAGGCAATGAGTCATTTATTATACAGTTTAGAGAGAACAGGAGCCAGTTTGAGAGTACACTTGTTAATGGCTAATACAGGGATATTTTTGGGTCCACATGTTTTGTGGGGATCTAGGTTAGAGATGATAGCAGAAACCTTGGTAGGAGTTATATGCATATCACTCAACAGAGATTCAATTCTAAGTGGGAAATTAGGCAGTGATAGTTAGGCAGATGAGTCAAGAGTAGAGTTTGAGGAAAATTTACGTGCAAAGCATTCAGCTTTATCAGCAGAGGATGATAATACCTCAAATTGATTGATGAGTGGAGAAATAGAGCCCTTGCACTTATTTAATACCCTATTACATAGCAGCCAGTAAACAGTAGAGCCAAAGATATTAGAGGCTATGCGGTGCCTCATTCTCTTGGCAAACAGCAACTTAGCTGCTTCAAGGGCTCTCTTACATTTATTACAAGCAGTAATGAATAGGAACCTGTTATGATGAGAGCTGTCACATTGGTATAGCTGAAAATAATGGTTCCTGTATGCTATGGTGGCCGAACATGCTGCTGTGAACTATGGAAGGCATTGAGGTTTCACTTAGTATTTCCAAGAAGGAATGAACGTATTCATGTCAGCTTTGACCCAAGAAGAAACCTCAGCAGCACAGTTTTCAATTGGGAGGTTAAAGATGTCAGTCCAAGGGGTGTCACAATGAAAATCACAGAATGGAACCCAATCAGCATGCTGGTAACAGAAAGAGGTTTTATGGATATGGGGGTTCTTGTTTAATGGAACAAAACAGCAATGGCTACCACAGAATGGTCTGAGTTACCAAGAGGGCAGTATTGCAAAGCTTGGCAAGAGCAAGGGGAAGAGGTAAGAAATAAATCAAGTAGAGAAGCCCGTTGCTTGGTTTGGCTAGTGAAATGAGTAGGGAAGTTCATGATTTAAGTGAGGGATTGGGCAATGGAAAAATTTAATGTCTGAATACCAACATCAGTAACTTTTTAGAATGTTTCAGCCACATGTCATGGTGAGCATTAAAGTCCCCAAAAATAAAAATGTTTGCAGATGGATGGAGAAAAAGTGACTTTTCTATACTGTCAACTATTGCGTCTAATATACTGCAGTCTTGCGAAGAGTGGGAGTGATAAAGGAAAAAGAGATAGCTAACAGAATTTAGTAATGAAAAACAGAAGCACATGAAATAGTAGTCAGTGGCCTTAAGAGACAATTCCCTAGCCATTGGAAGATTATCATGGATGTAAACAGCAAGGCCATGTATATGAATGCTAGAATTTTTTTGGAAACGGGGAAGATAGCCTGAAACCAAGAATTCATTAGTAGCAATGGAAGAATTCAAGTTGGTTTCACAAAGGGCAAAGATATCTGGCGACCGATCTAGGAGAAAGGATTTTACACTGCATAAGTTGTAACGAATGCCACGAATATTGGAGAAAAAAAGATTGAGGAGGGTAAATGGTTATTTGATGGTTTAGTTGTATTTCTTTTTGTTGTGATTTCCATGAGGTATGTTTTGAGGAGAGAGAAAAAGGACCACCATAATTGTCACTATCTGTTGTCAATGGCAACACAAACCAGTCAGTGCATGGCTGAGAGAAGAGCAAAATGTGACCTCAAGGTTGCCCACTGGAAATACATGTAGGGACACCTCCCCATGCATGACAGGGCACTATAAATACCCTAATATTATGCAACTGTTGATCAGAGCGGCCTCTCTAAGCACTACCAAAGTGTTTGGGCTCCTAACAACCAGTCAGAAGCAGCAGTACTGTTCAAATTTTCTCAATTTTGAGTTAAGAATATATATATTTTACTTTTATATTCTGGGTACATATCAATTAATGCTTGTAATAAATTTATTACAAAAAAATGTTTAAAACAGTCATCACTAAGAACACTGGAGCTCAAAAATCACTTTTATATAAACACTATATTGTTTATGAATTCATTTTTCTTTTGGAAAATTGCATTTCAATGTTAATAAATAAAAAAGAACAATAAATCCGTATGTTGGTGAAACATCTGCTATACTTTCTCATAGATTCACATGTCAATTAACAAAATTTGGTGTACTTAGTACATTGATCATCGCATCACACAATATCATGACAATCAATATTAGACACTTGCTAGTAAATAACGCTAAAATAATTCCTAGCACTAATTGTAAAAAAGACTCAAAATAATGAAGCTGTTTTTTAAAAAAGTAAAACAACTGACATCAAAAACACTTTCACCAAAGGGGAAGCCATTTTAAAATGTGTTTAAGTGTTTTTAAAATTAATATTTTGGTTTTTAGATGTTATCAAGTTATGTGAACCCCAGTAGATTAATTTTAATTAATTTCTAATTTTAAAATGTATCTCTTAAATATAGTTACAATAGATATAATATTTTTAAATATAGTTACAATTTATTTTATACATGGCACTTGCATTTGATAGCCAGTACATTTAAAATTAAAATTATGATGTTTCTAAAACAAAAAAATCCCAAAATGAATTTAGAACTTTTACAAATTGTAACTGATAACATTAACATCATCATCATCATCATCATCCATCATCCCCTTGACTTTTGTAATCGGGGGTGGGGGGATCCAAATGCAGAAGCCATATTGAATCTCCTCCACAAAAGTCTGACAATGGCAGCCATCAGCAACTCTGGTACAGTCATATTTGTCCATTGTTTGACATTATCCAACCAGTTTTTTGTGTTGACATCCTCTCCTATGTCTACCTTCAATGGTGACTTGCATGATGTTCTTGTTGTGCCTTGTAATGTGTCCAAACCATGCCATTTTTCTCTGTGGCGAGAAGAGGTCTCTGATGGCCCACAAAACTTTCAACACTTTTCTGCACAAACTCATTGGTTTTATGTTCCCAATAGAAGATGCCAAGGAGTTTTCTCAGGCATTTGTCCTCAAATACTTGGATCCTTCTCCTTTTTGTTGTCAATTCCCTATATAAAAAAAAAAAAAAAATGCATAAAATATCCTGTTTTATATGTTTGGGCTTTATTAGAATTCAAAAAATAACTTTTTAAAATAATAGGAACTGCCAAAGGAGTAAACAGTATAAGTAATGCCAAGAGAAAAAATAAATGTCCTTTTGATACACTATTGTTTTTCTTTTTTGCAGGTACTTTAAAATGTTGCTTTTTTTACTTAACTATAAATATTCTTTCTTTTATATTGAAATTTGCCTTGTCTAAACCTGTCATTTTCAGCATGGACTGGTGATGTAGTTGTTTCTGCCACCAACAGTGTCCACATTTTGCATTCATATAGAAGGATGCTGATTACCAGCAATTTGCTTCGTAATCCATTCAGTGATAATGACAAGAGATGGTTACAAACTGATAGAACCAAAGCATTTGG